TAATAGCTATCCGGCCCCCTAGTCTCTTCCCTCGTGCCTTCCCCGGGCTAGAACATTCCGAAGTCCTTACGACGCCTCAACTCTGCGGACGTCGTTTTACCGCCCCCCTCCCTCCCCTGTCACTATATAACTAGATCCCAAGGTGTCAAGAGCAGGAACATCAAAGAAAACAACAAGAGAAAAAAGAAAAACTTTTCCTCGAAAATGGGATGATAAAGCTTGCATTTTCAAGTAGCTTAAAGATTGGCCTTGTCTGGGAGTACGAACTTTCCCAACACAATCGAGGACGAAGTAGAGAAGTATTTAAAAGTTCTACTCAGCATCGAGTCATGTTGAAATCGATATCAGGCGACTTACAATCCAGCTATCTTACTTTTGGGCCTTTCTTTGATCAATTTCAGAGATCATTATTGGTACAGCTATCGGATCCCCCACACTTCACACCAGGTGGAGGGTGGTGTTCTTCACTGCGTATCCGCGTATCCACTCCAACATATTACCTTCATATCTACAGGGGGAAGGATGGTCTTCTTGACTGCGTATCCGCGTATCCAATCAAACATGAGGAATACTGATTAAGTGCAGGGTAATCGAAAGCYATCATCATTTTACAAATTGTGGAAAGTTTAAAACTAAAATCAAGTTTTCAAACATTTCTCTAGTATTTATTTTTGCCCATAAGCTTAAAATGAGAAAGTTAGGCATCGACCGTTCTCTTGGGCAGGCGTCGTTTGAAGACTGTAAACTAAGGTTAGGGTTTGCTATATATTTATGTACATAGTCGGCAGTTRGTGTATAATGTATAAAAGGAATACTCAAAAAATCGTGAAGAAATTAACTGTAGTTTTMTTCTTCCTTTGTGTTTTGTTTGCCAGCTTAGTGGACTGGTAACTACGCGACCAATCCCATCATACAGCACGACCCGAGTATTAGCAAAGTGCTGTATTTGCCATCGTGACGAAGTAGGTTTTGGTGGAAGTCAATCAATACGTTTCCATGACATTCCATAGGCAAGTACCCTTAACGCTTTGTGTTTTCCGACAATGTTGGGAAACACTTTGATTGCCTTCCACCAAAACTTTAGAGAAGTTTTCGACGGCAAATTGCTAAAGAACTTTCTCTCCATCCAATCAAATGCCTGAAACAAAGCATTAACACGGCGCGCACAAGGTCACGCAAAGTTCACAGCACTGTCAGACCAATGACATTGCGCGAAAAAAAATCTAGAAAGCATCATAGTCAAGATACGGCACGTTTACGGCTCTGAAATTTTCAGTCATGCGAAAACTGCTCTGATTTAATGTCTCGAAAAACTTTTGATCGAGAAGCGCTGTACAAGGTGAGCYGAGTAATCAAAACTGAACCAAATTCCCTCAATACTCGTATACAGATATTATCGAAGTACACATAAAGATCGACATCATATTATATAGGCAAATTTTATTCAAGTATCTCTATAGAAATTATCTTATTTAAAACCCTTCATTCATGCCTTATACATTCAACAGGAACAGAGCTTGGGCTATCTGTGGCAAATTGTTCCAAAAGTTTACTACTGAATGAGACCTCACATTATCTACATTAACCATAGAAATATTCATTTACAACCACAGTTAGCATGCCAACCGTAGAGTGATTTTATTTGGCCCTTGAAACGAAATTGTATGATAATTTTAAAAAAAACTCTATTAGTGACTAACAGTAGAACCAAAACTAATAATTTTTTGATGAAATTTTAATACTAATTTCAGTGTAGCTCTCCTGAAATAAAAATTGACATTATAAAAGGAAAGAGAATAACTTATCCAAAGAATGGTAGTTAGGTAGGTAGGTAGG